AGGTTGACTGATGACAACACATAAATCAGAGAAATTGAGAAAAGGAGACCCTGAAAATGCCCAAGAAATTTGAAAATAAAGAAGTTATAAGTCAGTACTGATTGTATAATGAATACAATTTCAATAAGCTATTTTTATGATGTATTATAAGTTGATAACCAAACTGATTTATGATGGTATATATATAGCATGTGATTTCAAATATAAGAAAATTGTTGGGAGAGATACATTATGAAATATTAGTGACTTCTATGTCTGCAACTAAGAGAATTTTACTCCTTTTCATAGTCTCTACTTTAATAATTTTCTCCAGTAAATTCCACCAACATATATTTTAAAGACTATTTATACAAAACCGTAATTATAGTTATATAATTATAACACTCGGTAAGGAATCAGCAAAAAACAATAATAAAGTATTGCATTTTTTGTCATTTAGACAGAGATACAAACGACTTAAGTGCCTATTAACTTAAGAGTATATAAAGAAACTGTTTCATATATACAAAATGGAATACTACTCAGTCATTAAAAAAAGATAAAACCTTGCTATTTGCAACAACATAGACAGACCTAGAAAGTATTATGCTTAGTGAAACAAGTCAAATAGAGAAAAACAAACACTCTATGATATCATTTATATGGAGATGGAGCATATAGAGAGGCCAAACAAATGAATGAAAAAAATTTAAGAAATATAAAGTTTTACACTATAAGATCTAATCAGTTGTTATTATAAGGGAAATGGAGTGGATTTATAAATAAAATGGGTCAATTTTATGGTTAAGGATCTAACTATATAAGTGTATTTTTAGTGATAAACTTATTTTAATGGAGTATATACACAATTGTTGATTTATGATGACACATAATGTTATAATTCAATTTTACCTCAATAACTTTATTGACGTAATATGGGTTTACAACATTGTATAAGATTTAGAGGTATAGAATCACACTTCAGGTATATGTCAATTTTTTAAGAGTATTTATGACTAGATGACATCATATCCTTCCAGAAAAAAAATAATTGGGACACATAAAATTAGGTTGGCAAAACACTGTGGATTGCTGCAACTAGGTTAGGGATACATGGGGTCTTGATTCATGATTCTCTCTATTTCTATGTAAATTATAAGAGAATGAAACCATGAAAAATCAAACTCCCTGGGATATTCAAAGAGAATATGTGATTTTAAATAAGCAATACTTAAACTAATAAAGCAAAACTAACACAAGAATTTTCAAAATCAAAAAGTCTGCAGTTTATTTGGGAAAAAGTATATCATAAATGTCTAAGCATGAAAATGAAATAGACTCAACCACTAAAATAGGTCAGTAAACGCATTCTTCACAAAATAGAAAAACCCCTGGAAATATATAAAAATGAAAAGAAAGAATTTTAAGTAGTTCAGAATTTTTTAAAACTAATTACACTCCACATTTGCATTCAATTTATTTGGATATTAACAGTACAAGGGGAAAAAACAATAATCTAATGAAATTGAAATAATCACTGATTCTTGCAGCCGAGCATTTTCATCAAGCAGCTATTATCTCCTTTCCTTTCATCTCCCTCTATAAACATGCAAAACATATTAATCAGTCTGCTCATAGACTTTATAAAAGTGGTTCATTATCTGTTCTATTAATAGTTGCCAGGTTTTTGGCATCAGGAGTTGGCTGCTAAGAATGATTAATATTTAAATGTTGTTTTCTCACAGTTGAAACACTGGAATAATAAATGTAGAAAAAGTATACAGAAAAATAAATGGAAATTATCTTTTTTATGAATAATGTCCACGAATGTTTCTAGTTCTCACTTAAGCAATACTATTCTGATTCATTTAAAATATTTCATATTATCAATCTCTCACTTCTCACCAAACTTCTCAATCCCTTCTCTTCAAAATTTTATGCCCCATAGAGTCCATCAACACAGAAGAGTGAAGATGCCAAGCTCATCTTCACCACCTATTTACTACCAAAATATACTTAAACAAAGACAATCACCCTGAATGATGAACACATGAGTATTGAATATATCAAGAGGAACGACATAGCAGAAAGGGATAGAAAAAGCTCTTTTAACTGTCTTTGTTGAAGGCAGTGCAACCCACAAGACAGAAGTGGTTGACTGAATTGCTCACACCCACATTGGAGACTTTAGAACATGGGGTCTATATAGGTGTAGTGGCAGGAATGGGCACAGTGCAGGATCTCTATGATCCAAGCAGACTGGGTAAAGGAGGAGAGAGTCCTGAAGCTCTCAGTGGCTTTTCAGGCTTTAATTGGGATTTTACTGGGTACACAGCAGGCAGAGGTGCAGGGGGACTGGAAGGCTGGCAGGCCTCCCAGCCCCCAGCAAGTCTTCACTCTTTCTGGGCAATCCAGCATTGTCTGGTGGTCTCTGCTTCTCCTTCGGCCTCTCTTTCGGCCTCTCGTTCACTCTTGTTCTCTCTGCTTCTGCTCTCTGCTCTACTGGTGTCCCTGTGATGCCACCCTTATAAGCCCAGTTTCAGTCCAGGTGAATTCCATCTACATATGCCCACACCCTATTCCTGGTGCCCACCATCAGGCATGCATTCAGGACCGCAGATCCATCATCAATCCTAATGGCAGAAGGGCAGAAAAGCCTGATATCATTTACTTACCCCACAATAGGAAAAGGGAGCACACAGGACAGAAAAAGCACCACAGAAGTACTATAGGAGTAAGAGTGCAGCAATCCGTGCAGATACTGGAATAGTAGTGTAGGGTAAGGTAAAAAAGTATTAGGCTTTTCTGCCCTCCCGCCATTAGGATTAATGATGGATCCCTGCAGTCCTGAATGCATGCCTGATGATGGGCACCTGGAAGAGGGTATGGGCCTATGTAGATGGCATTCACCTGGGCTGAGAGACTGGGCTTATAAGGGTGGCATCACGAGGACACCAGTGGAAGAGCAAAAGCGAATAAGCAGAGCAAAAGAGCAGAGAACAAGGCCACAAGAGAACTCAGGAGAGCCCAGAAAGAGTGAAGACTCGTCGGTGGCTAGGATTTCTACCAGCCTCCTGGTCCTCCAGCACCCCTGCCTGCCGTGTACCTGGTAAATCCCAATAAAACCCTGAAAGGCCACTGAGGGCTCCAGGACTCCTCCTTCACTGCATCTGCTGGGTCATAGAGAAACCTGCTCTGTGCCTTCCTGCTGCTACAGTAGATAGCTGCTGCAGATGCAGATGCTGTCCTACTGACAGCACCAAGGCACCCTGAGCCCAAAAGCAAAACACCTTGCACCCCTAGAGTGGGAACTCTGAGGATGGTAGAATCTTGGTGACTACCACTATAGGGTATGAATGAGGTGATAATTGACAGAACAAGCCTGTGACTCAAAAAGGAAATAGCTGGAGCACAAACTGATAAGATCAGACCACCTGTATCTCCTCACAGGAGAGGTATCTACCTGCAAACCATCTACTTCGCCCCATCAGGGGCCAAAGCCAGATAACAACTAAATGGTATAGGTCATTAACTGGACTTTAAAGCACCTGAGTCCAAACAACAGGAGCAAGTGCCCCAGGGCAAGGATTTTACTACTGTAAGATGGTGAAAAGAACATACTCCAGTCTTGACCCTATCTCAACCTTAATCCTTCCACCCCCAGGTTATAAATACAGTGTAGAGGTTGAAGCCAGTACATGATTGTTTACAACTTGGTTGAGGGGTTAGCCTAGGGGAGGGGGTCACTCTATCCCCACTACCCAACTTGGACACCTGTAAAACCTTAGAAATTTGAACTCTTGGTCTCGTTGGAGGCAGCCGTTGGTGACTTGCTGCCCCAGTTTCTATCTACTAATGTTGAGGGGCACTAGTACCCTGGGGACACAGATTACAGAGGTCTTACATGTGTGTTCTGCAGCCATTCCAGGCCGGGTAGGTTCATCATTGGTTCAGGCAGCTTAAAAGAGAAACTTGGAGCCCTTGACATCACCCCCACAGGTTAGGGGAAACAAACCAGCAGGGAGAGAGCAACTTGCCCCCACCCCCGAGAATCCCTGTAGGCTATTTCTTCTCTTAGCCATTCTCTGACACTCCACTACACACTGCCTCATGGTCCTCTGTGATGCCACCCTTATAAGCTCAGTCTCTGGCTCAGGTTTGTCCACTTATGAAGCCCACACCATACTCCAGGTGTCCACCATCAGGCATACATGTAAGGCCACAGGTGTTGATCACTAATGCTTTGGCAAGAGGGTGGAAAAAAACCTACTAACTTCCATTTACCCTACAATGTGAAACAAGATACCCAACAATCCTGGAAGAAAAAAACCCTAGGGTTATGCCCATACCTTTAGGTGTGGTGTAAAGCCAATTTATCGGAAAAAAAAAAAAAAAAAAAACACCTCAACCCATAAAAACTAAAACTAAAGAGACAGAAGAATACACCACAAACACTGGAGGAAAAAAATAAAAACCTTGATTATTTTCAGTAGAGCAGAAATGTGGAATCTGCCTGATGAATTTAAGGTCAGAATAAGAAAAACAATGAATTAACAAAGCACGAATACAATGAAGATAGAGAAATGTGAGAGTGCTACAAGTAGAATTAATGGATCTAAAAATTAATATAACTGAATTTTAAAAAAGAGACTGTAAGGGTAGGAACGGGCACAGTGCAGGTTCTCTGATCCCATGCAGACCAGGTAAAGGAGGAGTCAGAGTCCTCAGTAGTTTTGCAGGTTTTTTATTTGGGGTTCACCAGGCATATGGCAGGCAGGGGTGCTGGCTGGCTGCCAGCCTCCCAGCCCCCAGCAAGTCTTCACTCTATCTGGGCTCTCTGGCGTTCTCTGCTTCTGCTTCGGCTTCTCCTTCAGGTTCTGCTGCTGCTGGCTGGGGCTGCTGGCATCACCCCGTGATGCCGCCCTTAAAAGCACAGTCTTAGCTCAGCTGAATCCCATCTACCTATGCCCACACCCTATTCCAGGTGCCCGCCATCAGGCATGCATTCAGGACAAGGATCCATCATCTATCCTGATGGCGGAAGGGCAGAAAAGCCTGACATTTTCTTTACCCTACAAGACAAAAATAGAGGCCTGAGTGGTAGCCAAATGCAGATAATGGATAGAAAAAACAAACTCAAATTACAGTGGTGGAAAACACTCAAGCAGAACACAAAGAGAAAAAAGAACAATAAAAAAGGAAAATATTCTAAGAGATATTTGGCATAATTTAAGGAGAAATAATATTCACATCATGGTGGTCCCAGGAGGACAAGAGAAAAGCATAGAAAATTTATGTAAAGGGGCCTCACTATGGCCTGAGTTCAATCCCTGGCCAGGAAGCTAACCCACATATGGCACAGCAGACCTGTTTTGTCTCGCCCACTGCTCCCCTTAGCAGCATATTTCAGTAAATCTGACTGTTCTGCTCCCCATTCTGTCTCTGGTGAATTCTCTCACTCCCCGCACCTCTGGTCTTGTATGCTTGTATGCAAAAAATAAAAAAAAAAGAGAGAGAATAAAGAAAATTTATGTGAAGAAATAATAGCCAAGAGTCTCTCTAATATTTGGAAAAGAATCAAATATTTGGATTCAAGAGGTCCAAAGAGTCCCAAACAAAATAATAACAAATCCCAAGACATAATAAAACTGCTGAAAATAACTACAAGAATACTAAAAGCATTAAGAAACTGTCAACTCAAAAATCAAGTGCTCTACAATGTTTATTACAGCATTATTTATAGTAGCTATGACCTGGAAGCAACCTAAGTGTCCACTTACAGAGGATTGGATAAAGAAGATACCACTATATTCACACAATAGGAAACTACTCAGGAAAGAGGAAATGTTAGTCATGTACAGCAAAATGGAAAGAACTTGAGGGATTTGAGTACAGTAAAGCTTATCAAAAAGATAAAGACACATTGGGCAATATCATAGATATGAGTAAAATAAGAAATAGCAGATGACTTGACAAAGCACAATAATTATAAACTGACATTCATAAAGTGAAGTTTCTGAGGAAAGAAGTGTCAAATGGCATAATGAATAGTGGTTGGAAAAAGGAAATACATCTGGGATTCATCTTAATTGGGGAAGAAAAGAGACTGGGATCAAATAGCCCAGTTTTGCCTTATTTCTGCTACTTATTAAAACTTAGATTTCCCACATGTAAAAGGGGCATAACAATGATATATACATCACAATGTATTAAATAAAAAAGAAAAAAAAATTAGTCCAGTTCCTGGTATAAAAAAAAAAAATGTTCAAAATCATTGCAAAATATCCATAAAAAATTATACAACCTAACTTTTCTCAGACTTCATTTGATTTTGATACCCATGCAAATAATTCAGCAGTTTGCATAAGGCCTGTTTCTTCTTGATTTTTATGCTATTGCTCTGTCTCTCTGAATATTGCCGAAAGCATTATGCAATTATTATTAATGTAATAAAGTCTATAATTTGACAGTCATTAAATGTCCCTCCTGCCCCAACTGAGGAGCCAGAATGATTATTGTATCTGTCAATAGGGATGGTATTCATTCCTTCTATTTTCTCATTAGCAGACAAAATAAGTTGTTATCATGAGTTTTATCACGCTACAGAAAATCTTTAATTTTTTTTGACAATGACAATACAGCTGATGTGTAATAGCATTAAAGAAATGTAGGGGATATTATCTTATTTTTGTTTGTGCATGCCTTCTCTTAAACTGCTAAGAAATGAAACTAAACAATAACTACTGAAAATTACCAAAGTCATAACATTTGCAATTCTGGAATGTCCTCATTCGTTCTCAGGCCTTCTTGCTGTCCGTTTCCATTTCTGTGATATCAACTAAGGAAGAAACTAATATTCTGGAATTATCCTCATCTATGAAATCCATTAACATCTTTGGGTATTCTGAATTTGAAGTCATGCATCCAATTTTAAGTTAATAGTTTCACTTATTGGAACTTGTAAAAAGGAAATGTGCTAGTGGGATAGAAACTAGGCTTCCACTGCCTCAGATAGACTCTGCCTGACCTATGCCTGCTTGAGGCAAGTCTGGGTGTAGGATTGGTATGAAAACAAGGAAAAGCATAACAGCAGTCTATTTGGTCACCTTCTATGATGTTATGTATTTTCTCCTCTTTCTTCTCCCACAAGGCAGAAGCTGTGATTCTTGAAGCCATTCTACCTGGATCCTTTTCCCTTATTTCTGACACCAATATAACTGGGGTTTTGTTTTCTTCTGCAGCAAGATTTCTCAACTTCCACGCTATTCATTTTAGTCAGATACTTTGTTTCAGGGCTTCCCTGTGCATTGAAGATATTTAAGAGCATCTCTCACCTCAGCTGGATGCCAGAGGCTCCTCAAACCTCCCTCCCACCCAGCTGTCACACGAAAAACATCTCCAATATCTAATTTTCCCCTATGGGCAAGGTTACCCTGGATGCAAACTTCTACTCTGTAGCATGATAGAATCATTTCACATTCTTCTTTTTTCATTTATTTGTTCTACCATTTCTTTATCCACTTTCAGTGTTGTCAATCATTTCTATAAATCTAATTAGGATAATCAAAATTATAATTGAAATAGCCTCTCAGGAATGCTTGGATCAATGAGAAAAATTACTTATTGGTATGATTATCATTATAAATCTAAACCCTGGGGAAAATCAAGGAGAATTTGAATAAATAATTCAAACTTTTGGAGAGTAAGGAGTTGACCTTTTGTCAACAAAACCAAAAACTCTTGGCCATGAATGAGAAATAATTTCCTACAGTTTATTTCTTAAAAATGCATTTTTATAATTCTTATAGGTAAGACATTTTTGGCAATAATTGGAAAAATGCCTAAATTCAGAGTCATTTGTAACTGACAAAACTTCTGAAACTATAAGCCAAGTAGGGAAATATATACAATGACTACACAATCAATGCTATAATTCTTTAGTGATTTATATCTAATAACTGTGCTGCAAAATAATCTTTGAACATAATATATGCTTCATATTAACTTTTTTGATAATTTAATTTTAAAACAAGTGTACTTACTCCACACACTAAAAGGCCCTGATATAGTAGTAAACAGATGTTCAACTTACAATAGTGTTATGCCTTGATAAACTGGTCCTAAGTTTAAAAAAGCAGTTAATATATCTAACTTAAAGATCATCATTGCTTAGCCCATTCTACTTCAAGAATTCTCTGAATGCTCACATTAGCCTATAGATGGGCAATTATCTTGAGTTTCATTTCAAGAGTAATTGTATTCCTCCTGTTCTCTCCAGAAGCAGGTGACACAAACTGGCATTTTACAGACATGATTGGATAGAAAAACACAAAATCCAAAATCGTTGGTAACACCATGTAGTATATACTATGTTCACATCCTAGTGAAGCCAGGAGACAGAATCCATAAGGGATGTACAGTTGGTCACTAGTTAGGTCAGCATGGGGAGTAACTACCCAAAAAAATGCAAAGGAACTGGAGAACATGAAGAGTTACTGTCCATTATTTGTAATTTATTTCATTCAACCAAACATAGTAAAGTTATATAATTCATATTCCAGGCTGTGGGTGCAAATGTTTTTTTTTTTGTTGTTGTTTTTAAGATTTACTTATTTATACAAGCACTGGGTACAGTCAGAAACGCAGGAGGGTGAGAGAATTCACCAAAGCCAGAGTGGGGAGCAGGATAGGCAGATGGACCAAAAACACTGCTGAGTGGAGCAGCAGGAGTGGCAGGAGAGGTCTGTGTGCCATGTGGGACCCTCGCCTTTGGCCGGGGATTGAACTGGCACTGCAGAGGCTGCGGGCATTTTTGCAGCCCAGCGCTCAACCGCTGCACCACCGGGGAGGCCCACAAATGTTCTTAACAAATGTTTTCCGAGATTCCAAAGAAAACAACTACAATAACTATATACATATATCATAAAATTAAATTGTATAACATATACAGTAACTATATATAATATATAAATATATAATAAAATACGGTATAAAGTAAACCTTTGGATTGTTTTATGAGATGGTCAATTGATCAGGTGTAGTCACAGGAAAGGTGAAGAAAAAGTAAAGTGTACTATGCACCGAGGTCCCAGAGAACTCTATCTCTCTCTTCCACATGGAAAGATACTAGAATGGTCAGTAGTCAGAAAACAGAGCAAGGGGAAGGTTTATGCCATGAGCTTTATTGGGTTTTCTGCAGCAAAGGTGAGTCAAGATGATCAGCTTTGGCCTTGCTAGTTTGAATAAATGTGGTAGATAATATAAGGGTAGCTCCTACTTTCCTAGTCCCTGGTCCTGGATGATTGAGAGGCGTATGCCTTCCTGGGTTGAGCCAGCTTAATAGGGATGCTGGGCTCCTGATTGTTTGAAGACCACAGGAACACTCCCTATTGTGCCCTTGGTTATCACTGGAAATTGACAAATCTGGCCTAAAAGATTAGTTAAGATTTCAAAACACCATAATATACAGAAAATGATAAGTGCATACAATACAAACAACTACCTGGTTTGTGTAACTCTGTCCTCATCTGCTATTCAAGAATTTGGTATTCAGAGTAGGCAGAGACCCTCCTAACACCACTCCTTGAAGAAGTGTGGTATTAATGCAGCTCGATGTTTACTAAGAATTCTTAATAATATCAACACATTCTAAAAATACACAAAGGAAACCATATTCCTGATGTCCACATCCTATTTTCCCCATTAAGCAGTTATTTGTTAGTATATAGCAAATAACTATCAACACTAAACTGTCAGATAAATTCTCCTGTCATTTTGACATAATTAGACAAAGATGATTTTTTCCTTTGTTTTCTTACCTGTTTCTCTATTTCTTCAGTTAGAACTAGAGGTGGATGCAATGTTGTACAGGGACCAGGAATATACTACTTGTCCACCCCCAGTAGCCTCAGTTTGGCTTTCCTCATTTCAATCATAGCCTGAAAATATTACATACAATAGAATATTTTAACAGAGTACATTCATATTTTATTAGAGAATACTATGATGATTTTTCTATTGTATTATTAGTTATTGTTAGCCTCTTATTATGCCTAATTTATAAATTAAACCATTATAGGCATGTATGTATATAAAAAAGTATAGTCTATATAGAGCTCTACTATTCATGGTTTCAGGCATGGGGGTCCTGGAGAGTATACCAGAAGATACGAGGGAACTGCTATAGCAGGAAACAGGCTGGAAGTGAAACAGGACTGGGGGTGGAGGGGCTATCACCATACATAGACTGTGGCCAGGTGGAGGACAGGTCACTGTCCATGAGTTCTTCACCTGAATGCACAATTGCCAAGATCCCTCAGGCTCAGGGGACAACAATGGGGAGTTATTTAACAAATGGGGGAAACAAAGAGTCTCTAAGGACCCTAGTGACTGGCTATCTTACCTCAGATAGTGTCCACAGTGTCCAAAAGTCCTAAACAAAAGGCCACTCATCCAAAATGTCATTGTCTGGTCAATGAGGGCCTGGAGTTCATGGCACACTGGCAAGTAGCCAACAGGCCAGGTCCAACTCACCACAGCTGGAGGTGCTCATAGGTGGGGCTGCTGATTTGATGCTGCAGCACCCACAGCCTCAGTCTGAAGGTCATGATGGGCACCACCAGATGCTAGACCAGACAGCAATGGAAGCAGCAACACTTGGATGTGATTCCACTGGACAATTAACAGTTCTCTGAGGTGACCTGGACAGAGTGCCCAACAACAGGCTGTACATCACTGACTAGTAGTGCAGGTCACTAGTGTTAAAGCTCTTTGTGAGTTGTTGGCCCACACCAACAACAAACAGCTCTTTGAGACACCAGGCATGAGAACTAGTGCTCCTTTCAAGTGATGTCAGAGGCAACCAGTGGGCCCTGACCACTGTGAAGCTCCTTGGCCTCTCATCTTCCCTTGGAGATCAACTGCTGAGTGCGCCTGACAGCAAATGCGTCCAATGAGTCCTGCAAATGTGTCCAATGAGTCCAGGTGAGCAAGTCAGAGCAAGTCCCAAGTGAGTTCAAGAGAGCTCAGGAGGGCAGCTGTCCAAGAGCCCCAGAGCCAGAGTCGGAGCCTAAGAGTACAGACAATGCAAACCCCCAGGCTGGCTTCTGCTCTGCTTTACATCCCCTTTCAGGGTAATCCACTGTAGTGCAACCATCCCAAACTGCTCATTCAAGGGGGGAACCACTCAGGCATCTGCCATCACACACCAGTAGCTGTCAGGCTTCCTGGCCTTCTCTAGCTAATGGTCTCAGCCACAAGCCACACACCAAACCCACCCCCAGGATCCACTCACTCTTGGATTGGCAATTCTGTACTTTGGGAGTAATCACTCAATCCTCATGGTTTCTGTCTGTGGTCACTCCAACACTCAGTTTTCATAGCCACCAATGCGACATTCAGACCCCTGCACTCAGGCCAACCCTTTGCACATGCACATGGGTTATGGATTCGTGGATACAAGGTCCACATGTGTCCTCTCTTGTGTCCCCTCTTCGCTGTGGGCTCCACCACAAACCATGATTTCCCACCCGTCCCCCAAGGATGGGCTCCTCAGTTCCTAACCTCACTCAACAACGAATAGGGCATCACTCACAGGTGATTTTAAGAGACTCACTGGCCTTCTTCAACATACTTAGGTGGGTTAACAGCCGCTCAGAGCTTCCCAATCTCAGCACCAGCTTTTGCCTTTCTAAGTTGGCTTTTTGATGTGTCTCATCTGCCTGGCTGCAGAGAACTTGGCGAGGGCTTCCTCCCTCAGCCTCTTGGGCTCTTCTCATACCTGCCCCTTCCTCTACTCTGGCCATTGCCTCTCCAGGCTGTGGCCCTAGGATTGCTGGGCAGTACACAGGCTGCTTTTGGCCACCGAGGCCCACTGGCCACCACCAGGTTCCCATCTTCTGGGGTGTACAAACATTACCATCCTACCCCATGGTCCCCAAAACAACATTACCCTGCCAAAGTTCCTCCACCTTCTGGCAGGATTGTCAGTCCAAGTCCATCCTTTGTTCCTTGTGTCAGCACCGGTGAGCTCCGAATCATAGTCCTTTCTTCCCCAATGATTCTGCTGCCTCAGAGGTCCTGGGCCAGTCCTCTTGGGCTGTCTCCTCCTCCACTTGAGGTCTTGTCCTGCAGCTCCTGGACCTTGTCCACCTACTGTGCTCCTGAAGCGTCTTTAGCTCTTCCTACAGCTCCTGGACTCTGGTATCACCTGTGCTGCCATGGCATATCCAGCATTGTCACAGACAAACAGTCTGCTAATCCTCAGGCCCTCCTGAGGTCTTCCAAGGGCTCCAGGACTCCTCCTTTACCCATCCGGCCTGCTTGAACCAGAGAAAACCAGCTTTGTGCCTTCCTGGCACTACATTTGGTGTAGATGACAGGACGGTTCAAAGTAGGATGGTTCGACGCAGACGGGTATGTAACCCTTTGAAACCTGGGGAGAGATTGCCGGGTGGCTGGCCATGCGTACATGGTACTCGGTGGCCAACCTGCTCGCCCACTGGGCACCTCTCCAGGAATGGCCAGAGGTAGATGGAGCCCAGGTGCAGTTGGAACAGGCACTATACAAATAGAAGAGACCCTGGATGGATACAGTGGCCGCATGGCGACAGGGGCTGTGGGATGGGTGTTTCTCACAGCTCTGGGACAGTCTAGGCAGAAAGAGTTGTTACACGGTTATTTTCAGTTGTGTTGTTTACTCTTTTGGGCTATGGCTGCAGTATTGATATATTTGCCAAGAGAAGCAGAGGCAGGAGGAGAGAACAGGAGAGGGAATAAGAGAGAGAAAGCAAGAGAGCACAGTAAAGAGTGAAGACTTGCCAGGGGCTGAGAGGCCTGCTGATCTCCTGGTCCCCCGGCACCCCTGCCTGCCGTGTACCTGGTTGCTGCACTACATGTAAAAGCTCAATAAAAGCCTGAGAAAAGACAGCCAGGGCTCCAGGACTCTCCTTTACACGTCCAGTCTGCTTGATAAAGAGAAAACCAGCTTTGTGCCTTCCTTGCACTACACCCACCTACCAGTCTAATTGGCCCTTTTGCCAGTCAGCTCACAGCTCATACCCAATCTGTCCATTCCACGATCCAGACATCCAGACACCAAATCCACCAGCTTCTCCGCTGCCTACAGCTGGAGGCAGCCACAGCACTAGATCTAGCCCTGGGGCCCCAAGGGCTGCATGCCCTCAGGTAGCTTGGTAGGGGAACCACAGGCATCTGCCATCACTGCTGGCCTCCACCAGCAGCCTGAGCCCCAGCAGGGCCACTGGTGGTGGGCAGTAAAATGCCAGCACCAGAGCTTCGAAGAGGGGGTCTCTGGTTTCAGAAGGAGTGTGTAGAGTCAAGAACGGACACAGAACAGATTTTCTATGATCCAGCATACCCGGTAAAGGAGGAGTCCGAGTCCTCAGTGGCTTTTGCAGGTCTTTTATTGGGATTTACCTGGTACACAGCAGGCAAGGGTGCTGGGGGGCCGGTAGGCTGGCAGGACGCCCAGGCCCCAGCAAGTCTTCACTCTGGGCTCTCCGGCCTTCTCTCGGCTTCTGCTTCGGCTTCTACTGGTATCCCCATGACGCCGCCCTTAAAAAGCACAGTCTTAGCCCAGGTGAATCCCATCTACATCTGCACACACACCCTATTCCAGGTGTCCACCATCAGGCATGCATTCAGGACCGCAAGAATCCATCATCTATCCTGATGGTGGGAGGGCAGAAAAGCCTGACATTTTTTCCTTACCCTACAGAGTGGAAGGAAGTGTGTTGCATATGGATGTATAAATTATGTAATCTGACATGCACAGCTGTTTCCACTAATTACCTAAGTGGAAATGAGTGAAGCCGATTTTCCTGATGGGTAGCTGTAGACAGGATAGGGGAGACCCGTTCTCTGGCCAGTTTGCCCACACCCAGGACAAGAACTCTCTCTGAGCCTCCATTCCATTTTCTCTAAAAGAAGGGCATTTGACAAGATGATCCCTAAAGTACAACTCAATGCTAAGATTCTATGACTTTAATTCCTCTAATATTAAGAAAATGTACATGATAATGTGTCCTCTCAGCATATCACCTAAAAAGGGCACGATTAAATAATAAAATGTCAGTTTTCAACTGCATGGTGTAATTTTTTTAAAGGGATTTTGAGACAGGAAGATTGTTTTAAGTTTTCACAGACATTAATGCTTAAAAAAAATTCCTTTCTCACGTGGTGAGAGTAGGAACAATTTATCCCTGGACTTTTTCTGTCAGCATCTGTCACCTTGCTCCAAAATATCCCATGGGCAGCACATAGATATAAGTATCCTGAACACAGAAACTTAAGACAATTGATACTGAAAGGAAAAATCAAGGAAACAGATTTATAAGTTCAAATGTGTGTCACCTTGTGAAAAAAAAAAAAAAAAACCGAAAAGTTTCCAGAAATATATATATATATTGATTTTGGGGAAACATAAATTATTCTCTCATTGACTCATTTTTAATCTTCCCTCATATTGTTGTTGCTCATAAAGTGGGCAATGAGGTGTTATTAAAATGCATTAAGTTAGAGGATCAAAACCCACTCTGCCTGCATCTTCATCTTCACCCAATTAAATTTGACACTCCAGTACAGTTCCATGTAAGTGCATTGTGTTGTGCTGTTAATACAGAAACACACCATTTTATTTTTTTATTTTTTATAGAGGCATGTTTTATTTATTTATTTGTTTGTTTGTTTATACATGCACTGGGTACAGTCAGAAGCGCGGGAGGGTGAGAGAATTCACCAGAGCCAGAGCGGGGAGCAGAGCAGGCAGAAGGACCGAAGTATGCTGCTGAGGGGAGCAGCGGGCGGCAGGGGAGGTCTGCGCGCCATGTGGGACCCTCCTCTGGTGGCCGGGGAGCAGCCGGGGATCGAACCGGCGCTGCAGAGGCCGCGGACAGCTTCGCAACCCAGCGCTCAACCG